ACAGTGCAGGTAGTGAGGACATTGTATGAATTGCCCAGGTCCAAGCATCTGTTTTCTCTCTCTAAAAACAAGTTTACAGGCATTTGAGGGTTAGGGTCGTCAATAGCATTAAAGGAAACGTCAAGGAAACTTTCAACAGAAATTAAAATTAAATTAGTGTTCATAATTCAAGAAAATTTTTGAGTACAATGGAATGTCCACACTAGGTTTGCAGAGCTAGCATGGGTGTGTGCGCTGTGCAAATGACCAGGTCTGAGGGGTTCCTAACAATCACGCATGCTACACTAACTGCCAGGGGCCCATTATCTGGGCTGTATGCTGATGTGGAATTATGGCAATAGGCAATCTCAGCCATCTGTCACTGACCTGCTGCCGGACTTTCTTTCGCTTCATCAGCTTCAGCTGAATCAGCTCTTGGTACTCGGAGGTGTCCCTGACATCCACAGGGATGGACTCATCATCCTGATAAAGCCAATAAAAAACATGAAGCAGCACATGCTGGATATAAGGCAGTTCAGTATTTCAAAGAGGTAAGGTCATTTGACAACAAAGCCCTAGACATCACGCCAGTCCGAACATGCTCAGTGTGCTTGAGTGAGTGTGTGGCCACACTGATAGAGCTGAACTTGTGCATGTGTATTGAAGCTCTTGAATGACCTATGACACTCTCTTCATTATGAGCATGTGCTGCTGAGGATTACATGAAAATGATAGAATGAAAAACTTCATTCATAAGTTTACCAGACTGAAAGTGAACATGAGGTTAACTCTTCAATATGAGAACTTGACAGCAGAAACGAATTTCATGTCAAAAAGGAATCGTCTTGTGACTTTGTCTAATTCAACATTTGAGATTGAACATATCTTAGTATTTTAAGTTAGCTTAAAAAAAAAAGAAAGGGAGGCTTGAAACGTATGCCAGTCATACAATAGTTCGGTGCTGCTCTCCATTTACAAATTATAAAAACGGATTCAGGGGACTAGATTGAAAGTGACGTCCTTGTGAATAGTAGGTATATGGCAATAACACTAGTGACAGAAACACAACAAATTTGGCCTCCAGAGGGCCACTTTGTGCATGCTATAGGGACCACTTACAGAAACCAATTCATCGTCGTCATCATCCAGGGTGTAGCTATAGGGGTCATCTTCAGACATGTAGACAGGCGGTTGAATGGACTGGAGAAACGTCGAGGGCTGGAACAAAGGCTTAGTGAAGGGGTGAATCTTCTTACCCTGAATATCCAATGGAACAAAGGTACTGTCATCAGGGGTTAGATTACGGGATGAGGAGGTGTAACCCATTCAAGACAGGGGTTGCAACAATAACAATAAAATACTTGAGTTGAATCAAACTGATCACATAATTCATTATTTGAATTACAAAACTTAAATTCAATTACACATCAGCTTACACAGAGAATTTTCAGTCAGCCCAGCCTTTTAATAGAAAAGCATTTTTGAAGCAAAATAAGATGTTATCAATGCAATAACTCATGATAAGTTGCTAACCAAAGGCAGAAGTGTTATTTTCTTTTTTATGGGTTTAGCTTTTATTAGGCAATTTGGTTATGATAAATCATGAATTTTTCCGATTAGTTTAATTGCATTGCACCAACAACCATTTGAATAAAAAACTAAATATTCAAATATATGATAATGAATCAAATATATGCATTCAAATTTTTTTTTGTATTAATCCTATGCCCAGTGATGATCGAGGACTTTTTAAACATGGTACAGAAACACTATAATTACATGAATCCTATTTTTGTATGAAGTAACAAGACCTGAATGACAAAACCTCTAAAAGTCAACAATTTCAGGTCAAACGTCCTGACATCCAGAAAAATCCTCACATCCCTGCTCATATTTGTTCAGGTCAAACGTCCTGACATCCAGAAAAATCCTCACATCCCTGCTCATATTTGTTGTGACAGCTTGTGATTCAGTATGTGCTCTCAGCACAGACTGTGCACAAATTACATATGAAATTTCCTTCGTGGAAGAAATAACCCATTATCCAAAAAATTATAGGACAATTTAACGCAAAAGTGGACATGGCTGAAAAGTGCAAATTTGCACGATCTTCCAAACTATAGGCACCTCAACCTCAGCAGCTTTTTGAAACAAACACCACAGTCCAAACCTTTATAGTTATTTGACACCTTGTTATTACATGAAAAAACAAATTTTTGTGCAGTTTCTTTTCAAATGAAAAAGAAGCTCTATGGGGTCCTCGGGAAGAGACAACGAAGATATGTCCAGTTTTAGAGGCGGGAGGAAAAACCCAAAATATCCCGCTAAATCAGGTAGTGACGGTAAAACCAATCCACATGTTGGTCAAGGTAGGATTTGAACCCAAGCCACAAGAGGTCGGGATGGTAGAGCAAGTACTGCTTTGCCAAGTTGACTCCCATAATAAAGTTCTGGAATTTTTGTAAATTGTACCAGAGGAATGCCACTTAGTGTAAAGTCAGTTACATTCAAAACTGGGGGAAATGGGGCCAAGGGCAATTAAATACCACAAAATAAATCTAATAATTGGAACAGCGGCTCAGTGTGGTTATCAATCAACAGTGAAATGCATGATTAAGGTCACCTTTCTGCAGTTTTGGTATGTGGACACACTGGGCAGTCGTCCAGGCACAGGCATGCCGGCCTTCATCAACTTAATGAAATACTTCTGCACTCTGCTAGCAACCTGGCAAATGAACGCACAGCAAAGGGTGGGATTAATTTCGACATGCCTACTTACAGGTCCGACATTGCTGCTGCCAATTTTGTGTGCACTTCGACAAGGCATGTACCAGTTGCCATAAAACAAGCACACGCGGTGCACTCAAAGAAATATAAATACAAAGACCAGTCCAACAGGATAAATTGGAATGTTATTTCTTTTCTAGAAATGATGCAAATTAGGTATTTTCAGATGGGAGAATTCCACCACCCCCACCTCCGGACTTTAGCTAGTATTTCAGATCTAAGTGCCGATTTTATTGTAAGCTGTCAAACTTTTACACTGGCAAAAGGAAGTTCAAAACAGCCTACATGACATCCATAGGACAACCAGACCCCTCTCTAACCAAAATGCTGCAAGTCTTCCCCGTCAAAGTTAACAACAGTTCAGTCGTTCTTACAAACTGCTCATACATTAATAATAACTACACCCCCTTCTCGTGAGAAGCTAAGATCCCACTGAAACATCCCAAATTAGAAAACCTTCAGCAAAAACATACATGTAAGTTTGTTGTGTTTAATTACAAAGACAGAATAATACTAACAGAGAACCTTGAGGACATGGGGCATTCTATAAATTCAGAGTCCAAAATTATGATATTTTGGTGTCCCTGTTACACCAGAGCTGTGTAATTTGACATGGATATATCACTGAAATTGATTTCAAAGCATTTCTAGTTGTTGGGTGGGTAATTTGCATTAATTCATCACTGTTGGGAATTAGAAAATGTGAAAATGTGTTCTGAACTCACAAATCCCATATCAGATGTGACAGGAGCATGAAAAAAGTTGGACCCCTAATCTATAGACCCACTTGCAGCACTTTCTTTACTAGAGCATTACCAAAGGTCACTAAATTTGCCAACAAACAAGTCTATCAGCCCATAACATTGCTTCGCATATTCTAAAAATATTCCTTCTAGTAAAGTAACTGTTTTGTGAAGTTTCACTTCCTGACAGAGATTTCCTCAAGCTCCTTTGCTAGTTTGTGAAACCCTGTGATAAAATTGATAAAGTCAGAGACAATCTGCATGAGGAGAAATCCTTGATGCGTTTCTCACCTGTTGTGCTGTGCGATTCCCTAACGCTTTGGCTATTTTCTCCCATCGTCTGGCCTCCACATCTTCTGTGGGATACTTAACAAGGAATTCTTCTAATCTCCGCTACCGAATCCAAAAACATCAAATCACAGCTAAATTAGTACGGATATGCAAAGTTGTTGAAATCATTTAAAATAATCCAAACTGGGAAAACAAAGCCATCTGTAATGTGTGTTTTTTTTCAAGTGAAGTAAAAGCTGACTCTCTTAATGTTGCAATGCTAACCATTTACAGCAGTGCAACTTCAACACGTATAGATTTTAATTCTTGACCTAACAAATACAGACCCTAATCCAAACGGTGAAATGCAGAAGAACCACAGAAATAAAAACGATTTACTGGTTAGGATCAAAGAGTTTGTTTACCTGTTCATCTCTTGTCCATAGCTGGTTAAATGTGGGTGGCTTGTTCCCCTCTGCAACTCTACCCCGGACAATTTCCACCTGAAAAAAAAAGTATCCAAAACAGAGTCCACATTAATACTCAATACACTTGATTTATATTCAAAGCACTTATTAATTATTTCATCATCACCAACTATCGTGAAACCATGCAATTCCCCTGGGATTTTTCCAGGGCCCAATGTTATGGCTCTAGTAACTGAGAGGATTCTGCATATATAGCACCATTCTGTGTTTACATCACCAGCACAAATCTTTTGTGCTAATTTTAGTAAGTGCACTTACAGAATCCTCAGTCACAGGACATGAACATTGTGCCAAAGTCAAAATTTCTTGCTGCACCCAAACTGTCTTGCTATTTTCTGCTTTAGTAGGCAGAAATTCTTTGCTTAGGGTAAGCTAAGCGTTGGAGTTAAGCCAAGGAATGTCTGGCAACATTTGGTCAGGTCCATAGAGTAGGCATCATATATTCACATAAACCATAAAGGTTGGTACAAGTACTTTTTACCAGCCATTGAAAACTACCCATTCGACGGGCTTTCATAAAATTGGAATGGTTATAAGCTGTCTAAGGTATACACATCAACAAACACAAACACTTTCCCAGTTTCATAACAAAATTTGGAGTCCTATTTTATAGACTTCAGTGTTTGTACATAGCAGTCATCAACTCATCATTACTAAACAGGCATGTGCGATGTAACCAATGAGTCCACATTTTATACAGTTGAAATTTCAATTCACTCCATGAAAGCTACATTCTGCATCACTCGCGCAACACACACCACATGCGCCAATGCCCAAACAAGATTTCAGTACTGCCCACGAGGCATGTCACTGATAACACATGGGATAAATATGAACGTTGGACTTATTTCTACTTTTTACCCCAAAAAAGTATTTATGAATGGAAATCAAATTGTGAGAGGCTGGTATAAAGTAGTACATTTTAAAGGGCCCATGCAGACCTCCCTGGACTAACTGCAGTTTTCTGCTTTAAATTGTGCTTTGCTATGTCAGTAACATTACAAATGATGAAAAAATGGAAAAGGGTCATTTAATTATGGCTAATTGCTGTTTTTCAAAATTGCACCCCTCAAATTCATGTTTGAATTTGTGACAAATGGCGGTGCTCTTTCTGAAGCAGGTTTCAGAATCCACAAAAAATCAGACACCATTTCATCCGCCTGAACCACAGAATAATGCATACAAGTTCCTTCGCAGCATCGGCCTGGCTGACTTTCGCCGTCCAAATTTTCAATGCAAATTTGCAAATTTCCTATGCTAATAAGGCGCTTCTCTTGGGGTGGTGCCATTTCACATAAACTCTTTATAATTTTTTTTTTCATACTTAATAATTATAGCGATAACTTTTACTGACCGGAAAATCTTTATTAAACATATCATCTTCCATTCAAACTAATAAAAAACACATTTCATGGGCCCTTTAATCAGGCTGTGGGCGTAGCAAATATAATGAACCTCACTCTCAGCTGAGTCCATTATCATCTCCAGGCCCCTACCCGGTTTTAGTTGTTCTAGTTTAAACAGTTCTGTCACAGTTTTATTCCTTTATTATGAGATATGGGTAATTCCAGAAATTAGGGTTCTTAAAAAGTGACATTTTTGTGTCCCTGTTACATCTGAACCTTTGTTATGTGAAATGGAAAAATCACTGGAATTGATTTCAAACTAATACTATTTGTTTGGCAGGTAATTTGCATTAATTTATCACTCTTGGAAATCAGAAAATGTGTTCTGAACTTACAAAATCACATGTCAGATGTGACACGGACACAAAAAAATGGACCCCTAATTTCTGGAATTCCCAGAAATATAAATATTTCTGGAATTTCGGGAAATGGCAAATACAACAAAGCCATAATGTCCACTTTGATGGCTTTCTGGTGACTTAACTTTCAAGTAACATTCCTAACAATAAATACCTTTTGCTCAGGCTTCATCTCCGACACATCTGTGCTCTGCGCTTCATCTGATATGCTGCTTGTTGAAGGCTTGTTTGGCTCCAGACTCGCTGGTACTCCTGCCCCAGATGGCAAGGCCTGAGATGCCGTGGAGGTCGTGGGCACTGGCTTGATCTGACTTAGGCCACAAGACCCACAGCCCACTGATGGACATGGGTACACGTTAATGAAAGGTAATACAACCTTTAAATCACTATCTAAGAATTTCAACACTCAACTTGGGCACTCGTGAAGACATTTTCATCCCAATTAGATGTGCGGTTTAAAAACCTGACATTCTGGAACACATTTTGGACTGGAACATAGCATTTTTTTTAAACTGACCTACCTAATGAGTAGGACTTTTTGAAGATGGAGGATTTCTGAGAACACTGTTTAAGTACTGCAAGCTACATGCAAATATTTTGGGGGAGGGTGTTCTCAGCTTTTAGGGTAAACCGCTATTATTATATTTCTTGTGAAAGAAATTTAGGAAACATTACAATACATAATATGCTGAAAATATTTAAAAATAATTACAAAATATGGAATGACTAGTTTGCCAGTTTGATGTTAGTTTGTAACTGATGTTGACCAAGGCCTATCTGAAGCAAATGTGATAGCATTCGGTACCAAGGCATTCACATAAATAGTACACATACATGGATCAAAGAAACGTACCCACTCCAGGTCTTGTACCCTACCTTGTGAATGTGCAAGATTGCTTGCTGACTTTGAAGGCCGCATGCTCCTTGGCTGACTGACCAATCCCAGTAGTTCGTTGGTCTCTGGGGGACCTATGTAGCGCCCCCAGTCAATGTCAGGGCACGTGACCACTCGTTGGGAATGCGGTAAACTGAGCATTTCCTGGGGGGTGGGGAGACAAGTCATTTTGATTTTACATGAAACACAATTTCATGAAAGGCTATCAAAATGTTCAGAAAAAAATGTTCAAAAATATGTCATCCCAAAATCATCTCAAATTTAGATTCAGACTATGCCTTTGCCTTTGAGGTACTGATATGTATGAAGACAATGGTTAAAATTAAATCCGCCAAAACTATCTCAATATTTTCTCTATTTCTCCACTGTCATCTGTGACATCATGAACTTATCATGGGCTAACTTTGCCAAAAAAAAGGTCCACTTGGACAACGTCATTGCATTGGAAAAGATCTGTATGAAACAAAATTTTCAAGAAACTGTTTTGTTCAGGCACTCAGAGGAGACCTGTTTTGGGAAATAACATATCACATATTGGTAAACCAGGAACTGTGTCATGTGATATCTATGGATTATGATTGGTTCTCATCTGTCTTCGGTAAAGCCTAATCATTCACTGATTGGTACTTTCTACCCAGCAGCAAACCTGTGCCCAACAAACAGTTGACTACTGAACATACATGTACATGTACCTTGTAGAAAAATGTATGCATGGTGAGCTCCAATCAATTTTACAACAGTTTACCTGATATAAAACTAAAGTTTTACTAAATTTACATAAATCAAGAAAAATCCAGTCTTTTGGATTTCAACAGTATAACAACTTTCCAACTTTTGACACGAATACAAGATCCCAGCTCAGCTGTAAGTAAATATTTATAAACTTTGACTGTAGCCTCAGCAATTACTGAAAAATATCACTTGTACTTAAAGCTGCATAGAAAGTGGCTGCAAAACGGGGGGATTGAGCTGAAACTGACAGTCACATGTAGTTTGAATTTTGTACGCAGAACTTTGGAATACAGGTTGGAAAACATGGTTGAGCCGATGGCATACAAGGGTGCCTTGAGCAGCTGCCAAACGACCCACAGAATCAACATTGATGATCATTCCTAAAGATGTCATTGCACGGATGTATTTTCAGTACATGTACAAATTAATAAAAAGTCTCCACTTAGATTGTGGTGATAAAATGGATTGAAAAACCTATAGCTTAATCCAAGGAGAAGCCATTACTACGAAAGCACACACATGTGGCCTTGAACAAGACGCTTGAATGCCTATAGGCAAGTCACAACACACTGCTGGTTGCACACATGTATAACATGCATGCATCACTTGTACGCGAGCATGGGTGCTATTGCAGTAACGGCTTGTAATCCAACTCACAAGACTAGTCTTTATCGATAGCTGACTCAGCTATTGGAACACATGGGAAGATGTGCACTGGTAAAATACAGACTACGATGCGAGTCAGTCTTTTTTCCTTCTTTCTATGATTGAAAACTCTTCAGGGACACACCCCCAACCCCAGCTTACCTTGTGCTGCAGCTTGTGCACAAACTTGATGGGGTTCTTGAGTGCCTTGTCACGGCATTCTAACAGTCTGTCCAAGTCCTGGATGGCCTGCTTACGCTGTGCTTCCAGCGTGGTCAGGGTGCGGAGTAGCATGCGGTAGCTGGATGGGTAGGGTATGAAATGATCAGACAAGGTACGTCAACTGTACGGTCAAAAGCTTGAATTGCGTGTTATTACTGAGGGAGCATCTCGGAAGTTATTCCGGGTGGGAACAGCTGCTGTTCCCGAATGGGAATACTGGTCCATCAGTATGCTTTGCCATCACGTTCTTAATGGGAACAGTGCAAATTTCCAGGGAAAAGGAACGTCCTGACATTTGAGACTGTCCCAAACTGCTTAACACGTATTAAGTTGGATTAGCAATGCGTGACTAAGTGATGTAGACAAGTTCATCACAAATTCAGCAGGAGTGTAGTTTCAAGCAAACTGCAAGTGAAATCACAAACTTAGCAACAACTAACAGGGGATGAATATTAATGAAGTAACCTTTGTGCTATTTCATTGGAGTAACATGTAACTTAAGACTAGATGACTTTGGATCGATTTGTGGACTACAACAGAACACCGATGTGATCCACTTGTTCTCGTTACATGCAAGTGCATGTACATGTTTGCCCAATGTGTAAAATTATATGTAAATTTCTTTGAAATAGCTGTTTTGGGCTTTAAAATGTGACATGAATGACTTGAATTTACCAACTGCCCTTTTACAAACAGAACACTGATTAAGATCTGTTTTGATACAAGCAGACTTGCATCTGTCCATGCTTAAAAATCACACTTTGCTGGGTGCTCAGTTCACTGAAAAAATACTTCACTAACTGTGGGCCCTTGTGACAAATTACATGTACCGGTACCCGTATGGTGAGTTGTATACCGCTTCATTACATGTACTTCAACTTACGGTAACTTTTAATGTTGAAATTTCTCTGTTGCTTCACCAGTATTAAAGCAGCAACATACCAAAGAAATCCTCCCTCTGCCCCCCAAAATAGTTCATGATGCTCGAGCGTAATCCCACCCCCCTGTTGCACCACAGGGGACAAGGATATCATATTTTCCTCATTGTTATAAAATCCTCTTTTCTTTTCCCCTGACCCCGTATAAGTTAATTGTAGAAGAAAAATAAAAATGGAGAATTCCTTCCACATGTCTCTCCACAAGTCTTCCCACAAGCCCAGTCACAAGTAACTGGATGAACAACAACGGAATGCTTTGATCACGGTACATTTGAATAGGTTGAGACTTGGCTTCGGACTGCATGACTTGTGATGGGCATGCGGAGATTCACTCAACTCAACCACAACATGGGGAGAGACAAAAACATGGATTAAAAACCCCTTTGTCTTCACTGTCCACACAAAATCTAACTTCAGTGTACATGCATGAGAGAGGACACGCCAACTCACTCTTTATTTCCTTTGATGGCCATGTGATCAGACTCAAAGTAGAAAGGCTCCGTCTCATCCACATCCTCATACCACTCCTCCGCCTGACAATCAACATCCTCTCTGCTGAGACCCGCCTCCTGGGTCTGCTCTCTGGACTCCCCCACTAACTCCCTCCCCTCCTCCTTTGGAAGGACACCATCCTTCTTGCCGGAACCTTTTTTCTTTCCTGAGGACTTCCTCGGACTGATGGTGGGGCTCACTGAAGGCGTTGTTTCTACCCTGTTGTTATCAGTGTTGTTGTCAGTGACTCCTGACCCCTGGATCTCCTCTGGAGGGGTTTCTGGGATGGCCCCGCCTGACCTAAGACCCCTTCTGGTGGGGGACTTTGTGAGGTCCAGCTGAGCCTGTTTTAGTGGGGAACCCCTTGGGGAAGTTCCACTCCTGTGTCTGGATCGCTGTGGGAGGGAAACTTCAGTTCCAACAGTATTTGCAGTGGTTCTAGTATCAAAACTATCAGGTGTCAAGGTGATAGATTTTGAAGTTTCTTTGCCGTCTCCATCATTAAGAGTTGCTTCTAGAGTTCTGTCTATGCTTGCAGAAGCGTCCTGAGGGTCAGCCATTATTTCATTATTGCATTCTGATTGTGAATAAGAAGAGGGGGTGATATCTGTGCTCGCTAGCGTAGCTGTGTCAAAATCCTGGGAGAGGTCCCGACACACTGTCCCTGTCCTCCGTCTTTTTGGTGAGCCAGGCTCAGGTGGGCCTACATCTTGGCTCTCTGGAGGCTTCCTTGGAGAGATGCTGGTGCTACTACTCCTGGTTCTTTTCCTGGGAGTTGTCTTGCCTCCCCTGATACCATTGCTTGCCAAACACTGACCCTCTGTGGCAGGGTCAGGTTCGGACACCTCTTGCTTGTCATTCATGAGACTATTTTTACTTTCATTAGACTGAGAGTGAGACTGCCGCGCTCTCCTTGGACTAGTTCGTGAAAGAGGTTCTTCGGAGGATGCAGAAGGAAGGTTGAGCTTAGGCATCTTGTTTCTAACTTCGCGAGGTTGTTCAGAGCAGCCTTGTGATCCAATGGAAGCTATAGTTATAGTTCCTGCCTGCACCACTGTTTCTCCTGGTCTTGTTTGCTGAGATTTTGATGCATTGGAGATTTTGTGTACTGAGGTAGATTGTGGTAAGTCTTCCGACTTTTGATGATGCTCATTTAAAGATGTAACCTCATCAATATCCTTCCTCCCATCTGATGTATTCGCATCCTCCTCTGCAATCTTGCTTGGTGAGGTTTTATGCGAACTAGAAACCTCTTCTCCACAACTTTTCTGTTGGGAATTGTCTGGGTCATTGTCTTTTGTTCTTTCAGCAGGGCCATTGCCAACACCATCCACTGAGGTACCCGATCTAGTTCGCCTACGCAAAGAGCGACCATCAGTTTGGGCTTCTTGTAGGTGAGTTTGAGCCTTTTCAGTCTCTTCTGCAGTACTAGTTATCCTTCCAGATCTTTTCCTTGTGCGTCCTGAGACATTGGCATCACCACCACCGCCGCCACTATGGTGTTCAACGTTGGCAGCAGCATCTGTTTCTTTGGCCACAGAATACTCTGTGCTCCGCAACCCACGTCTCGATGCCTTCCCCTCCAAGCTGACAGCACTCGAGCCTGCTTTGCCATTTTTGATGGCGTCGTGCTGACCATCAATGCCTGACCGCTGATGACCTGACCGCTTTGTCCTGACTATCCTCGGGAGTTCAAGGACCACAAGGTCTTCTGAGGAAGTGCGAGATCGTGTTGACCTCTCATTGAATGCAGCCTCTGACTTGTTCTCTGGGAGCGAAGCATGACTGGATACTCGGGACTGTCGCCGCATGCTCATGATGGCCAAAGCATCTGTCTCCAGGCCAAGATAAGAATCTTGTCATGCATCAGGAATGAGCATGCTGTGCCAGTGGCCTGTTCTCAACTTATCATTTCTCAATCAAGTTTCATTTTATTACCTGCAAAATGACAGACAAGGGAGATGAATTAAAAGAATGCCTCAGATTACTGTGCCCTCATTCAAAGAATAAGTTGGTTCTTGTACACTTGTAGATAACCGCTCAAAACTTCACATAAGGAACACAGGGAAACTGCATTGCATGCCTCTTCCAAAACCTTGATAGAACAAAAGCAGATTTTAAGTGTAATAACTTTTCACAAAGGTATTGAAAAAACAACAAATGTTACCCCTTTTGCCTTCCAACAGTGCGTCATTATCAACTTACCAAAATCGTTGTGTAGCAGGATTTGTGATAACAGCCTGCGTGTAGTTATATGCATGTGTCATGTATGTTATGACAAGGTTCAGTGACTTAAATATTTGTCATATCATGGCCTTATCATCACTCTGATGGACTGTTAGTTTAAGTTGGTGTACAGGATGCTTTGACTACAGAGAATCCTCCAAGTTCCATGCTATCACATCATACTTACTTGGCCAACATTACAACACAAGTTTTAACTATTCTAAGTGTAATTGATGAAGCTCATTTTGTAATACAAACAAGCACATCAAAACAACAATATAACTTAGGCCATTTCCTCACTCTGTGCCAACAAGCACAAAGTTTTCAAGGCATTAAAAGGCAACGAATATAATATAAAAATGCATTTTAAAGCGCCCTCAACGTCCATCCCACGCCTCGTCGTGTTTGTATTAGTTCACACAGACCCTATCACGAATTGTAAAAGTTTCAGTACCTCTCTGCTCACCTACGACCCTGAATGAAGCTTTCACCGCACGAATATGTAGTGAATATCAAAAATTCGTCTATGCCTCACAAAATGTGCCAGATTACGTGTAATTTTATTGATTTAAGGGGACGATTCTTTTCCCTTCGCCACACATGGAGGCTGCCATCTTGGAATATTGCAAATTTAGTTTAAGGGGTGTTGGAAAGATTCACAGAAACAGAATAATTTTGATCAGTAAAATTACATTCCATATATGTAAAAAATCTAAGCCTACAGACTTAAACCTGTGTAAAGAAAATTAAAACAATTCAAAATATGATTACTTAAAAAAAAATTATGTTTATATTTAAGATTTGTTCCTTCACATTAAATGTTATATCCTGATCCAAAATAAATACAAAATAAATATTCATTACTCTGAATATTCAGTAATTCGTCTAAATTAAGGAGAAGACAAAAATGGCGACGCTGGTTGAGTTCTTTTGTTCGTCCGAAGATGCCGAAGAAAATGAGGAATTTCTCCTTTCAAGGCAAAGAGATTCCACAAAAAAATCAGCCCATGGATCAACTGTGGGCCGTGGAAGAAAGCCGACGAAAGTTCGGGGTGGTAGAACCAACCGAATCGGAAGAGAAGTTCGTGGTATGTTGGTAATGGACCTTATTTAGTTGTGATTCGTAGCACAATTCTCCATACCTTACTCAGCGCATAGTGTATAAAACTTTTGGCCTACGGGAGGCAAGCTGTGTTCGTTTTTAAGGACAGGACGTTTATAGTTTTAGAGTGAGATTTCTTTGAACTCTTACATTTTCCGTTGACGTTGATGTAGACTGTACTTTTGTACATGTACATCATACGTGTACACAGGTTTACACACCCAGGGGTAATTCTGATTCATACATGTAGTTCCATCATTCTGATCAAAATAGCACAGGCATGACTGGAATGTAATGTCTGCATTAGGGTTAGGCTAGGCTTAGGCTAATAGTAATAGGCTAATGCTCGTATTTTGGGAACTTGGAAAAACCGATCAGGCCTACCTTCATTAAGGCTTAAGCTATTTCTACAGGGCTTAGGGCCTATTTATCCATTTATACAGGTAGGTCCTCTTGCACATGAATTGTAAATCAGCAGGCTTTAACTTGTTACGCTCCAACTAGAGCATCAGTCCCATTTCACCGTCCCAGTACTAGAGTGCTATAGTTGGGCCAGCCCAACTACAGCATAAGCCTACTCTCAGAACTGTGGGGTCTGTCGTCCGCCCCGCTACACGAACAACGAACGTTCTTGGGAGCGGGGTGGATGTCGGACCCCACACATTCATGGGAGCGGGTGGACATCGCACCTCACAGTTCTGGGGGTAAACGGTCCAGTGTGCAACTGTGCATGTGCCAAACTCGTATTGTTTACAATGCCATGTCATAGCTGAAGTGCCATATATTAGATGAATTGTGTCAAGTGTGAGATGCATAAACTTGGATGAGGTTGAGAAATTTTCTATAGAAATTGGTCAACAATAGTTCAGCCAGCCCAACTGCTGCACTGCAGTTGGGACTGTCTATCCCTGGGAGAGATGCTATAGTTAGGGTGTAACAAACTCATTAAGTAACATTTCCTGAAGCATTCTAAACCGCATCCCAATCTTGTTTCAAAAGTATCTGTACTTACATGTAGTAACTTATTCTGTGCTATCAGCCAGGAATGCCCGTAGTATTGAAACGGCAACTTTGTCAGAAAGTGCTGATCAACATAGTGAAGAATCCACGGCAAGCAAAGACAAGCAACTCAAGGATACCTGCACATCATCAAAATTGAAGGTGATCATTGAAAATTACTTCAACACTAATGTAACATCATGTTTTTAAGCAAAGACTGTTGAAAATGTGTAACTTGTGATCTCTCTTCATAAATAGGTCTGAAATCCTCATGCAGATCTGTTATATCGGCCAATCAAAGACAATCCATTTAGTTAAAGGCACGAAAGTGTCTAAAACAATTTGAGTATTCTTTACAATTTTCTCGGTGTTTTTATTTACTCAGCACAAGAATATACAGGGACAGCCTTGGGCTGAAAGAAGCTGTACCTTAACATCTTTGCACACCCATTTGCGTGTACATTGTGCATATTTTGCAAAGGTATAGACTGCCTACATTATCATAGAGGTTTGGTGTGCCATAGAACAGAATGCCTATGTACACGTACATTGGATTAGTAATAGACCGCATGCACGAGGTTCGCTGACGTGAGGGAATTTGATCTGCAGCAGTACTCTTTGCTCTCATATTCCCCAAAAAGGTTTCACAAATGCGACGCAGCTGCCGGACCAAAACACCCTCCAAGTACTTCGTCCCCGAGGTTCAGGACACCCGACAGAAACGTCTGGGTACAGCACGCCGTGCTGCAAGGAAACTGGGACAACCTGATGTCAACCAAGGTAACAAGGCCGCGCATGCTTTAAATTGAGCTCAAAAGATGCGGAGGGGGCAATTGTCTGGGCTCCAACGGGACATTTTTCTAGAAGGGAAAATGACAGAGCTGTTGAATATGTTAAGAGAGAGAAGGCCTAGATATTATCAGGCATTTAAAAGCACTGGGCCACACCTCTCTTTGTATATGTACATGCAGATAAAAACCGTAGTTTATTTGATTATATTTATTTATCTGATCGTCCAACTGCACATTTTGCACCAATTATAGCATGATAATGAGTGACAAAGACAATGAAGAAACGTTTAGTTTTAGAGGTTGGGACTGAAAACTCAATCCACAGACGAGGAAAGAAACACTACGCCAACCTGACTATCCATTCCTGGTATTTTTAAAAACTTGTCAGTGGAGTTTTTTACTTCAGAAGAAAGCAATAGCTGCATAGCTGCCAGCTTCTGGATATACAACCAAATGCCACAAAAAGTGATTCGCCAAAATCATTTGAACAATATTTTTGTGATAGTTATTACCGCGTTCTCATATTTTTCAACACTCCAGGGTGCACCTATGGAGTAATATTTGATGGTATAACAGGCTGTACACTATGGCTAAGTTGATGTTCAGCACATGATCCGTTTCCATAGACCTCTTAGACTTTGTACATGTATGTGTGTACAAACAAACAGAAGATGAGTAATGTTTAGACGTCAGCCAGAGATTAGTCTAGGTACACTTGATGGTTGAACTTGTCAGCTGTGCCGGTGTGTACAGATAGCCAGACAGTTTTCACTTAGTCTCTGGCCTGATGTGGTTAAACTGAATACACCTGGCATGTATGAACCGTACAATATTTAATTCTACCCTTTCAAGTATATTATCTTCCCTCAGCGCTTGAGATTTGAGTTGTGGTTTGTGACAACTTGTGAGAGATCCAAGGTCTTGGCTCTACTTGGCTGAGAGTCAGCTAGCGGCTGACCAGGTTTGAATTGGACTGCTTTCCTCTTTCATCAGAATGTTATTTTTTGCTGTGTTCATTTCTCTCTTTTTGAAGACGGAACCCCATTCTGTTGTGATAAGTGTGGTTCCAATTATATTGTCAAGCCTGGCCGATGTCTGACCAGCAAGGGACATGCAGCTGCTCCTAAGAGGAAGAGGGTGTTTGGGATTCGTTACAAGACTGACCCTGAGACCAAGAAGCGACTGACTCTCTGTAATGCTTGTGGTGGGTACTGAGCCTCCCTCCTCCTTCATATAACTTCCCACATGAAGTATCCGTCTTCCACCCTCCCTTTAAAAACAAGCTGAGAGAGTCAAATCTTGCAGGAAAAATTCCTCATTAATTGCATGTCATAATGTTTGGGTCCAAATTTCAGTTTTCTGAAGGCCTTTTCCTCTCAATTTATTTAGGAATCCGTTTTGACAGACAAGAAAAGAACCAGGATCGATACAAAGTGCCTAAGGCCACTGACCAAGACAAGCTGAAGTACCTAGAGGAAGCCAAACGATTTGCCTCTTCACTCGTCGAAGGCCTGAAAGACCCAGACGGTAAGTGGAATTTTGCTGAGCCATTCATGAAATGTGAACCTGATCAGGTGGACATGACACAAGGTTTGCTTGTGAAATGAATGCTCACACACATGTTCACCAATCCAAAACTGTATGAACATTCATTGCTATTAAAAGTTAACAGTGTGAATAGGAATAGGAAATTTGGTGAAAAGAATTCCTGTTTGCATTCACATTTCACAAGGCTTGAAAATGTTTTTTCACTTGTGCGAAAAAGCATGATAACGTCTTTCCACTTGTGTGTCAGGTGTGCAAATCTTTTCCCATTGTTGAAATTGAAAATTAATTCCTTTGGAAGAGAAAAATGTGAAGAGAATTTCCCATTCCCAGGCTAACTTTCAATGCCAAGGTACTGCACTTAGCTGTCATTATGTATGTATTTAACAGTCAACTATTTGCGTTGCCTGTGTCACTTTGCCAATCTGTAGAATTCTAAGGGGGATTAAATTGACTGCATGTGCTCCCTCCTAACCTGCTAGAAATGAAGTATTATGATCCTGTGTAGCAGTCTTCCTCATTTAGAGCAAACCAGAAATCAATCATTTTGCACTTACTGCGGTATTTAGAAATCTCCACATTGGCACTAAAAATACAAAGCCATTGTAACACCGCTTAGATCTAAACCAGTAGGTATTTTAATATGAACGACAAGGTACCACTTACAGCAAGAGACCTTTCAGGCTACCATTGTCAGTCTGATTACATGACCAAGGGAATAGAGGGTCTGTGAACAGCCATCTTGTTGCTCATGTGATTCGTGACATAGGTCCAATAGCTCCAATATCCGCACACCGAGGAATGGTCACTGCATTCAGTGCGTTACACCTACTTGAGGACCGGGTCAGTCAAAATGAATGGATGTCAAATAGGCAGCACGTGTAGCTATGTGATTTCAGAACGCTATGGAGGCGGTGGCTATCCTCTCACTGCAGTACCGGGTCACATTGCCGGCTTAACCCTGAAGTTGTCTCTGACTTTGAACGTACTTCCATTGTTCCCGCAGCTGACAGACTGGCTTGTCTGCACATCTCCTCCAAGCCGTGTGGCTGTATGCAGAGATACATCATTGCCGAAGGTACGTGCTTCCTATCAGCTATGACAAGAACTGGAGTGGGAGGCATACATATGACCTACCTTCACATTGCTTTCCCCTGTCCCCTCCTGGTTTACATGTGACCGTGTTTTTATTTCTTGAAGCCACAAACAGTCCTGGACAGCCCTCATGTCCTCTTCAGTTCATACTTGAACCTTTTGGAAGACCTCACAACTGTCAAATGTGGACATTGAGTCATCAGAAATGCTTTCTTGTCCTCTTATTCAATATCCGCATTTTGTGCGTGTACAATGTACATACACGTACGTGTATGTACGCTCTGGGTTGTTAGAGTTGTGAATTGTTAAAGATTGATTGATTACTTGTTTTTCTATTAATGACCCGTTCATTACATACATACAAAGTGTCTTTTAGTCGGTTCATCAAACTGTCAGCACGTACAATTAATTCTCCCTGAACTTTTAAAACAACTGACACCCAGTTTCTGTTGGCATCTTCACATAGCTAACTGCATATTTCAGCTTGATCTATTTAAAACGTATTTTCTTCTGCAGGTCAAGAATTCAAAGCAATTGCTTTGGCATCATACTGACTTGTATTGAATTTGTTGTTACTATTTTTATGGACTGGCCTTCCTTTCCATCCAGGCAACATGGAGAAGTCCAGAGACCGTGCCAGCATACTTCTCAAGATGATCAAAGATGCCAAGAAACTCAAGGAGAAGAAGTCCTACAGCATTGAAGAGCTGATCAACAAGGGGAAAAAGTCAGTTGACCATCTCAGAGATTTGTTTGTTGGCTTAGGACTGCTGGCATAAAAAATACAATTGGGGAGGAATCCTTTATAGAAGGCTAACTGATATTTGTTACCCTCTTGGGGTGAGTTTGGGTATGTTAACTACGAAAAGCTTTCTGGAAAAGCTAATTTTTCTGCCTGAGTACATCTCATACTGAACATGGTAGTCATTCATAAAACCCAAATCTTTCTGAGGAAACCCAAATTGTGAATGGAGGTACGCTTGTGGTACCCTTACTTCGTTACATCCTGGCATCTTGGGCGAGATTCTGTAATAGCAGCTGTACACAATGCTAGATCATCAAAAGTCTGATTGCCAGCTTTTGCAGAACCGTGAGCTGTTTGCCTTTGCTCTCTTGAGTGGGGCAGGGGGATGCCACTATCTTCCAAGATGTCAGCTGTCCCAGACCAATTTTTTTTTCAAATTTAGGAGGCACACAAAAGATGCTCGTTAGGAATTCATCCTTGACGTTTCAATTCAATCTTGATGGGCCCAAAGCGGGACCAAAAGAGGGCGCAATTTTCCTAGCAATGAAGGCTCCTTTGATGGGAACTGCACTTGGCTGGTTCACAATTGACTATGAAATGCATGCATTGCGGTTGCATCATTGCCAACAAAATGAACACTGCCTACCAGCAAGGCTCTTTTCAACCGATGAGTGGGCGCTTTTGCTCAAGGTGGATACCAATTGTTTTGTAGTTCACCCTCTAATGCATGTTGCTGCATTGACCTTTCTAGGAATAATAGATATGTGACAACAAATTCCATTTTTCTTCAAATTGGCGTTAAAATTACTGCAAGGCACCAGCAGAAAAACTCCAGCGTCATCAGGACAATTTTTTTAAAATGCATTGCAGTAGTAAAAAATATATGGGGGAGATTTAGCCTCCCCACCCTAGCTCTAATGGTTAAGGTAACGACTCAGCATGCTCGTTCCAGCCATTGGCTATGCACAATAATTATAACAATCCTTATCGCTATCGATGGGGACTGCCTCAAATGACCAGTTGCAATGTTACCATGGTCACCAAATTTCTCAATTCCTCCCGCACTTGATCAGATTCCGCAAAGTGGGCTTGGGTAATGGCCAGAAGCGCTCCAAAGAGTTTGAGGAGTTTGTGCTGACCAACCGTCAGTACCTGCGCAACCAGCTCAAGTTTTGTGAGCGAGCATGCCAGCGCATCCTGAGCTACTCCAACAACTTCCTGCACAAGAAGCTAAAGACGGAGCCTGAACGGCGGGAGAGGATTGAACGAACCAAGGGCAAGATGGCCCTGGGCCTGCTCAAGGATATCACTGAGCTATCCGACATCAAATGCTGCGAGGCTGAGTGCTCATTGGTGAGGTCCTGCTCCTACTTTTTTATTGTTTTTTTAATGTGTTTTTTGGGTCCAAAATGTTGAGAGCTCATAAGATATTTGTAATGGCTACATGAAGGATATGTCATCCAGCAGTTGTCTGATTTTTAAATTCACGATAAAATGTTGTCGTTGAGTCCATCACAAGTCTTTTCATATAAAGCCAGTCACAATGCCAGTCACCAGCCCAGTCGTAAGTAGCAGATGACATAGGAATGCTTTTCTCATGGTCCATTTGAGGAGCTTGTGACTTGACTTAAAACTGAAAGACTTGTGATAGACATAGGGACCTGTGACCAATACATTTCAAATACTGCCTCATATCATGTTGGAACAATACATGCACATGTAAGTTTTTCTGGTTCTCCTAACATTTTGGGCAAGTGCATCAGACCAATTGACATCTTTGCCTCCGGCACTTTAGGCTTTCAGGTATCACGTAGTGGATTTACGTAACACTCTTGCCAAAAGCAGTCAGCACCTGCAGTGGCAATTTCACTGGGTCACCTACGGGTATGCTGGCACCTTCACTTTAATCTGAGCCTTCACCTGAGATTTCACTTTGGCAGTTGCCTGATCTGGCACTGGAGCCATACTTAACGTACCACCTGCAGAGATCCCTCTAATAGCTGTATGTGGGCCCTTGCATTGGCATCTTTGTTCACAGCAGAGCCCTCACTTGCCTGTTAGAACTGTTTGAAAGTAGCACTCAAGCATAACTCTTCATATCTAATAATTTGGGGGAGAAATCAAAGAAAGTGTGGTGGTGATATTTTATTCTTAGATGGCACAGAGCCATGCTGTACTACTCAAGACATGGCGGGAGAGAGCCAACTCGGGCCAGGCCGAGGCAAGGAAAGTCCTCGCTGAGATGCTGACCCCCTCAGGTGAGTAGCTGAGCTCTCAGCAAACATGCTTTGAGTAGGTCATGGTGAGAAACAGCTCGCTTAGCTAGCTCGATAGGTAATGGAGGAATTGCGGTTGAGACAGCACTGCGTATTTGGGTGAAGGGTTGTTCAACTTTATTAAGTATGATTGCAAGATCACTTGCGGTCTAAAACTCAGTGAGATGGGGATACGTGTACAACAAAATTGAAACAACAATATTGGTTGTCTGTGAATTGGGCCATATTGCAGTTTATTCTAATGTCACACTTCACCTGGATTAAACCTATATTTCTGCTTTCAGCACTTGGACTTGTTTAGGACTAAGGCTTTGTCAACATTTTAAGAGTTTGTAGATGTTTGGTTCAAAATGTTTAGTCTTTTACAGCTTGACCTGTTTATCAAACACAACCCTAGTTGAACAGTTATATCAGACTTGTATTTGTGGTTGAGTCTATCACAAGCCATCGGCTTACAAGTCAAGTCACACGCTGTTCAAATGAACTGCAATAAAACCATTTTTTTGTTGTTGTTCACCCTGAGTCTGGTGACTGGTCTTATGAAATAACTTGCTATGGACTAGACAGTGACTCTGAGATTACTAATACATTGTGGCTGTGTTTGACCACCTTTCAGATTGTGGTATAGCAAAATCTGTCATCAAAAACCATACCTACTAAATCTAAGATGTTAACAATGGCCTCGTGGATTCTTTCCCCTCGGGCAGGTAAGGTCTCCAACTGCGCCAATTTCATCACGCTGGTGACCGGCTGCAGCCTGAGTACCATCCAGAGCGTGGCCACCCAGATGCGTGAGACGGGCGGGGACCGGGAGCCACCGGCCCACGGCCTCAAGAGGTACTGGAAGAACCACCCTCGGCGCCAGCGCAGCCTGAGTGAGCTGGAGCAAGACGTGCTGGGGACCAGGGAGAGCCAGCCAGTGGCCCAGAAGGCCAGCACGGACAGGACCACCAGCACTGAGGGGGGAGGGGGCGGAGATAACAATAGTGCTGCTACTGACATTGAGACACCTGCACTGACAGCGGTAATGCCGAGTGAAGCACATCGTTCTCTGTCACATCAGGCTTTCACATGTCACAAAACTTACTTATTAGGCTCTTTATTGTTGAATATGGGAATATCGCTGCCTGTTATAAAGCCTAACTTTCTGTATCCTCGCCCTATATTATTGCTGTATTTTGTTGTCCTAGTTTGCAACTTTTTTGAGCAGTTATTTCTGTGTTTGCATTTGTTTTTGTTCTTCATTGTTGCTGTCTCAGACATTTGTGATAATGATATAATGGCATTGTGATTACTCGTTTGTTGCTCAAAGTGTTGGATCTCATTCACTACATACAGGCATACAAAGGCACAGGTGGAGCCATGGCCCTACGCGTTCCTGTGTATTCCTGTATTCCAGTGAACTTGGATCCCTCCTTGGTTTCTCAGTTCACAGCTTGTACGTTCTCACAAGAAATGATACACTTGTTTTACACCACAGACACAGCTGCGTGAGCAGCAGAACCAGCTGAAGCGACTGCAGCAGCACCTGGATGAGCAGCAGCGTCGCATCAGCCAGCAGCAGTCGGTGATCGAGCAGCAACTGCAACAGCACAAGCTTGCCATGCAGCAGAAACGCCTGCAGCAGAAGCAGCGCCAACAGCAGCAGCAGCTTCAGCAGGAACAGCAACAGCAGCAGCTGTCAGAGACACAGCAGCAAGAGATAATACAGGCACAGCAGCAGGTTTGTAAAGCTAAGCGGGCCAACCTTTGGATTTATCCTGAGACTGCCCACCTCCAAATGCCCAATAGTCCCACACCTGCTTCACAACCCTCCTGGTATTCCATGCATGTTCAAGCACTGTCCAGTACTCACAGGTTGTGTTCCATTTGGGCAGGCGACCGCTCTGTTGTGCTGTTTGTATGCACAAAAATTCAGGACCCTAGCTCAACTGGGATTGTTCAAAAGTTGCGTGGGTGTTTAATGCAACCATGGAGAATTCGTTTAATAATAGGACACATTGTCTGTTTGACTGTAGACAGATTTGTGTATATTTAACGTTACATGTAAACATTTTCAATTAGTCCATTCCTGGAAACATAATTTCATTGTTGATGTTAACATGCGGCATATGTTGACAAACTTAGAATCAAGGCCTGTTCAGTCTAGGTGAATGCAAAAGTGAAGTCAACTGCTTGTTACGAAACATTTGTAGCGAAATCTGCTTGTGATGAAATGGATTCAACTTTGACAAGCTCAAAGCGTGAATATTTGATCTGATATCGCAACTCCACACCAAGAAAGAAAGCAGTTTTAAGCGAGAAAGTACTACCAATTGCTACTGATTACAGGCTACGTCGGAGGAAGTTGGCAGCCAGTCCACAGCACGCCAGCAGGCGGAGACACAGCAGGCATCTACACAGCAGCAACAGCAGCAGGTAGCACAGCTAGTAGCACAGCAGCAACTCTTACTGCATCAGCTTGGAGCCCAACAGGTAACATCTCACTGGTGCACTAATCAAACATCTTGAAGTCCCATAGTTACACAAGTGTAGGGTTCCATGAGTTTTATACCGATTTACGCATATGTCACAGTGTTATAAACGTGCAAATCAGAGAGGGCGAATACATAATTTTATATGCATCAAAGTCTTCCGACATTTCTGGCGGGGGGTATCAATACAGTGAATAAAATATCTTCTTTTCAGAACAGTGTCATTTTGGGGTTTCTTTGAGAGGTCATTTTTAAAAATCACCTGGCATATCACGTGCATTATTCGCACACTTGTGTGTGCGGCATTGGCTTGCTGCCAAATCATGTATGTGTAAATACCGGTAGGGCATCAGTAGTAGTCACATGTATCCAAGACACAAAAGACACTAGATACTGTACCACTGTGCATTTGGCTTTGATTCCACAATAGATTGCACAGCAGTTGGTAGCACAGCAGCAGCAAGTAGCATCCACAGGAACAGCAGTCACGGTGGCGCAGCCGTCTGTAGCCATGGAAGGTATGATGGACAGCCGGCTGCTGCAGCAGAACACACAGCAACTGCTGCAGGAAATTCCAGAACCAAATCAATGTGCAGCAGAACAACATGCACCAGCTGCTGCTGGAGATGCAGAGTGAGATGACAGCACAGCAGCTGCAGCAGCTGGGGATTCCCAGCAGCAGTGGTGTCAGCAGCGGGACAACCGTTCAGACTGTCACAGCAGCAGCTGCAACAGCGTCGCAACCCCCACCCAGCTACAATGCTGCCGTGACCCTGCTGAACGCTCTGAACAGCGGACAGATGTTGAACAACAACTCAGTGCTGAACACATCAACCCAGCTGTTGCCCCAACAACAGCAGCAACAGCAATCGCAACAACAAGGTCCAGCAGCACGGCAGGGTGCAGTGCAGCCGGCCCAAGTCATCATCCAGGCCATTCCGGCCATACAACAGAACTTCCTCTTGGGCGGGACAGGACTGCATGGCCAACTCCTGAGTGCTGGAGACTCGCGCCAGGCCCCCCAGCAGCAGCAGCAAATCCTGGTCTCCCTCCCACCCAGCCTGACCACTGAGTGCATGACCAGCTCGGCCTTGACCGCCACTTCACTCAGTCAAGACTCTCTCAACCCGGAAATGGTGGAGATAGTGGAGCTGCAGCAGATCCCCCTGGGCTCTGGCGACCCAAGCCAATCCCAGGGCAACGGCATCCAGCAAGTCAACCTCCCCGGCGAGCTGGATGCAGCAGCGATAGCCCGGCTCAGCCGGGTACTGAACTCCCAGGAGATACGGCCAACGGTAGGATCCGCACTACATCAGCTCCATGGGAGGGCATCACGCACAGCCACTAGCTCTGCCTCTGATCTTGCTGCTCTAGCAAGAGACAGCACAGTTCAATCTGTCCTCCAAGGAGATTCAAATGATGGCCAGGCTTCATCCTCATCACTTGCCAATGAGGCCTCCCAGCTGAACATTGAGTCATTGCTTCCAGAGTTGCAGTTACAAGCACCAGTGGGGCAGGGTATGCCTGTATTCAGGCAAAACAATCCAAGCAAGTCAAAACACTAGAAATGCACTGTTCTTTTCTCATTGCAAAATCATTCAATCTTGTGCTTGCATTAAAAAGCCAAGCAAAGCATCTTGTGGTTTGAAGGCCAGTTAGCTTCTTTTAATTTTACCATTTTGGAAAATGCTGTTTCATACAATGTACCTTCCCAGCATGAGGGTTAAAAATCGCAAAGTGGTTCCAAAAGAACTGTAGAATTTAAGAATCGTTCATGTATATAGCCCACCCTGTAGAGTCCCAAAGTGTGACATCATTTTGTACAAGGAAGTGCAGTGCAAGTGAATGGAGGACACGCGTGTGTTGGTTCACGCACTGCCTTTTACATTGCACATTGTGCACGTAAAGTATTCACTTCGGTGTTTAATACTTGACATACTGTAGATAATCCACAAAAGTACATAGAATGCACCATGAGGTTCTGTACAGTGACAGAGGATTCAGTAAAGTTTCCAGCAAAATGCCTGGGAAGGTGCAGTTAAATCAATACTAATTGGCTGTTACCCACAGAAAATAATGTGTAACTTGATTCGAGTGTAAGGCTTATAATGTGTTAATAGATACTGTCAAAAGCATCAGTATTCTGAGCTTTGCATTTAGACTGGAAATGTTTAGGCGGTAGTTATGCATGCACCATTTATATTGTCACAGAACTGCAATAAAGACTCGGAACATCAAACAATTTACACACGAACATTTAAAAAAACAAGTTTATTCAGCAACAACTCTTCCATTTCCAGCGATGTAGTTTATCCACAAATGTCACGTTCTGTGTGCTGACAAAAAAATGAATATGTCTCTTTACAGCATGCTAACGAGAGGCCCTTCATTCTCTTTAATACGAATTGTGGAACTTGAGACTACAATTTTTCCAAAGTATAAAGTTTCTCTTACACAGGACTGTATCATATTTTCAAAGCCCTAGTTTTGATCATTTACTCCAATAAGGAAATCTGTAAACTGATGCATTCCCCCCCCCATTAATTATGTTTACGTGATTTCTACAATTGAGACTATTTAAGACACTGGTTAAACTACAGATGTGAATTTGAGATGGCACAAAAATTGATGAAAAAAATTAAAATGCCAATTCCCTCCAAGCTCCCTCTCAAATCTTGAGCCATCCTCTATCCCCTTTTAGAGCCAAGAGGTGTCTGCTTTCAGAAAATGACACTCTTGTCCAAAATAATCCTTTTGTATGCAAAATGTCCAGAAATGGCTTCTTAAATACAGTGATCTTTTAAACCCAAAGAGAATCTATTTAATGACGGTCATTATCTTAACGTACAAATTGACAAGGGTTGAAAGTGCTGTTTGGGTGATTCATCACTCCTTTTGTATGTTGCCAAAAACCTCGGTTGGGACTGCTTGAGTCTCCACTTGCACCTCTGCAGTCATGAAAAAAATGAAAGAAAACAGTGTTACTAAAACTGGCTCAATGAATTCACTGTAATCCATTCACTAGACAGTCATCTTTGCATCCAACATTTCTCTGTGATTGGCTGCGATTTTGAACAAATACAGACCAAAAGCTGTAACAAGGCAACGGATCTGACGAGAAAGACCAGTGAATTGAATCAGAGGCTAGTAGTCAACAGCTGGTTGACTGTGCCTGGTACCCACTGCCAAGAATATCTGTGCAAAGGTAACCGGCAAAAATCAACCTCTGGAACAAACATGACTGATGCTTGATGTGAAAAGGAAAAGAAATTGGGGATTTTCCAGGGAGTTTATCAAATAACCAGCCATGTTTAAATCACTTGCTTGTCATGTTTGTTCAGTGACCAGAGGTTAATTTTGCCAGTAATCTTTGCACAGATATTCTTGTTAGTGGGAACCAGGCACAATCAACCAGCTGTTGACTACTAGCCTCTGATTCAACTTACTGGTCTTTTTTGTCAGTTCCAATGCCTTGTCCAACCTTAAATAACAAACGTGCCTACTGAGGTCACCAACTAGCTACTTCATTCATTACCTCAAGCTGCATGACTTATTTCCAGTCATAGCCATGTAATTCAGACATAGCCATAAGGTCTCCAGATAAACTCACCATCAACCTCCTCGCCGCTGTCTTCATCCTCATCATCGATGTTGATCTCCTCTGGGTTAGCCATCCTTGCTGCTTCAGCCAGCTCAGCATCGCTAGCCTTGGCACTCCCACTGAAGGTATGATCAAAAATGAGGTACCCATTGAAGGAGGAGCAACCTTTGTGCAGACGATTCAGAGTGGCAGCTCAATTTATCAGCTATATTGGTACGAAATCTCGGCAAATTTCTTGCAACTACAATCGCCATTTCTTTTAAAAGCTGGCAGCAATTAGCCCAATATAATCATGTGGTTCATATTAGTGAGCCACACAATGGCCTTAACTATGCATGGAGTGTTTACGTTGCTTTTGTTGAAGGCAAACTGAGATCAGGCCATTTTCGACACTTGACAATGTTATTAGCCAAAAAAAGTGAAATCCGTACTTCCAGAAACCTAGTTGGCCTGAAATTTCGCAACAAACTTGGAAGCAAATATGCCAGGAAACCATCATCGCGGTCGCCGTATTCTTCTAGAGGTCATAGGTCATGATACTTGACTCATGCTGAGCATGTACCCACTTTACAAAAGTGCATCAACAACCATGGCCTGTCACTGAGTAATCACCAGTCAGGGTTTTGTCCTCTCTTCGGAGTGAAACTTTTCAGAGGCGGCATTGTTGGGAAATGTTTGTAGTCACTCACCGCACAAACAGAATGTCCTTCTTGGTCTTGGGTTTGTCAGCTTCAGCTTCCGCAGCCATGGCCTGGGCTCTCTGCTCTAGCAGTTTCATGTCATCTAAGCCACCTGATCCTAGGTCAGACACTGGTAAACGAGGGAATACCAGTCAAGATTGTGTGCAGTCATATACATGTAGGGCTAAGGACATGGTTTAACATAAGAACTGAACTGCTTTACACACAGGCGTGTAAAACAGGACGCTGAAATTTACTCTTGCAGCAAAATATTGAATTTTGTTTCAAGTACCTGTTCCGGCAGGATTCTTAGATGCAGCTAACATCTGGGCAGACATGAAGTTGACCTGTTTGATGAAAACGAAGAGAAACATCACATGTCGACATGCATTTTTACTAAACTGCCGTGTGACCAATACAATGCATAAATATGGTGGCAAACATAAGGCAATGTCAAACCAAGCTCACCGTTACTGAACATGATGACATTGGCAACCACATAGGCCTACACATCAGGCGTGGCACATACATATTACATGGTTACACACTAATCAACAAGATGAACTGAATGGCTTGTAAGAAAGGCAATGTACTTCAACAAACAGCAAGGACCAATGCTTGGAGTTCAGGTGCGACTGCCCGACAACACACTGGACATGTACATGTAGTTAGACAAGTGTCATTTAGCATTTCAATATTACAGAAAAGCACCACATGACTCAAATCATCACTGGTTAACCGCCGGGTACTTCTGAACTTCTAGAGTAGCTGACATGCTCAGAATGTGGACTACATACCTGTGTATTGTATGTTGCCTGCACACTGCGTTTGATTCTTAGCATCTCTCGCACAGTGTCTTCATTCCCATGCTTGATCTCAAATTCTTTCCATGTCTGCCAGAAAGTAGCAGTGGTCTTGGAAAAGAGAAAAATAATCCCATGACATGAGTCTTGTGGACACAATGCACATGTGTAGCCATTGTCATGCACGAGGGTTTATCCACCACGAGCAGAGGGCAAGGGTTCCCCTCGTTTTCTCTGAATGATGCAATCTACATTCAGAATTCGCAACTTGGCATGAACAGAAAAAAAATACCCTTTTTAGCTTGTTATAGTTGAGTTCTAAAGACAAATGACACTGCGTTCGATTTGGATGCTTCCATATTTATTTGAACAGATACAATCAGAGAAAACATGTTTTCCTTAGGGGGGCTTACCAATAAGGCCTTACCGTTCTTCCCGAGGAAACGCCACTGGAGTCTGCGATCTTTTTTTTTACAAAAGAGCACTTGACAACGACAACCGTACGCAGCAAGAACATGAGCACAGAGTGATTAAAAAATTTTTTTGGTTATAAGCTTTCTTGACGTTCTTTATATAGAAATAGGGTTTCATACCTCCCCTTGAAGGAAATGGAAGTGTCCAAATCATGTGAACGTGACTGGCCATCCAGGACGCACCTTATATATGCATGCATTATGCATGTTTGTAAACTCATTAGCATGCAGGTGATCTACTGATGGGCTCAATAAGGGCACAATTTCGTGCCGTAGGTTTTGTGAAGTTATTTTATTTCACATCGTCATTGCATGAAGTACAACTCAAAATTCACGAAAAGGTAGAGTAATGGACCGTAATACTGGTTCTTTTAATGTAGGTTCACACCGATAATGATGCCATAAAGCATTCGCTGCTATAAAATTCGCCTAGGGACAAACATGTTCAAAATCTGCCAACTCTCAAATAATCGGCACGATCGTGAACATGATTTTTTTTTACATAAGTTGGTGCCGAATTTGCACTGCGAATTTTCAAACTAAAAACCCACTGCACAAAATTCGCAGCTGATGCTTCTTGAAGTCAAAACTGCATTTCAACACGTTAACATCCAATGAAAGAACGTAATATGTGAATGCTTCCCCAAGCCCATCATTTTATTCCAACATTGTCCTGTCTGCAGAAAGAACACAGTATGTGAATATGTCTGTGTGTCTCGTGACATAGTTTCTCGGCAACAGTAGCACCAAGCCATGCCAGCTCATTAACCCCGTGCGTGCTCAAGCTTACACAGGTGTGCAGTTTGCAAACTTTTCGGCCCCTAAGCAACGACACACTTGCCGTTGAAAAAGCGGACTTTACACGAGAGAACGGTAAGGCCTTACTGATAATCCCCCTGAGAGGTGCTCTATAATTCTTGTTCCACTTCACATACCCTTGGATCACATATCTGGGAGCAGTGAGCGTAAATGGCCCGAGCGCGGTCAATCTCGCCCAGCTTTCTCTCCAGGTCAGCAAATCGCAGACACATGTCCCTAGCCTGGTCATCTGGCAAGACCTCGATGGCCTTCTCATAGATGGACCTGGTGTGGGTTACACCATACACCTCGGCAGCTCTCTTGATGTAAATGTTGAACATCTACAAAAAAACATTCCAGCTCACAGAGTTTACAATGGAGGCCAAGTAAACATGATCAGCACTCTACATTCATAGGGGTGGCCAATCAAGATCAGTTCAAACATCAAATGGTACCACAGCCTCTGACTGCAGACAACAATGCTCCCTAATCCTGTTCAGTGTACAATCATGTCTAGGAAGGTTTTAGAGGACTGTGTGTTGAACTTGACAACTGGTACAGCTTGTTACTGTGGCTGGGCCTCCACGTGTTGCAAACTATGAAGTTGTGATGAGAAATAGCCTGTGAATGTTGTACAGATAATTTTCAAAAGTCAGATGTTGTAGTGTTAGGTTGTATTTGATAAGCTGGCCAATAAAGCTTGCTTTTTCAAAAGTCAGGCTTTAGGCAGAAAAACCATACCATCGGAAGTGGCTTAAACCACTGATTCAAAGCATTATGCCAACAAGTACACATTTAGCCCAATCCCCCCCCCCGTGCTATATCTGCTTTTAGGCAGGAGTGCCCCACCTCATTCTGCTCCTCTGGTAGCACCCCTTCTGTCCCCCTCTCATACACCGCCATGGCGTGTCTTGCTAGGCCATAATTCTCCTCCATCTTGGCATACAACAGGAAAATTGCTGCACAAAAAACAGCACATGAAAACAAATGAGCCCAGAAATGCATGTGACTATTAATTTGAAGTCAACACATCTCCTAACCTATGACTGTCTCATTTGGTTCAAGTTTGATCTTCCTTTCAAAAATCGATGTGAACGCACTTTGACAAAGAGTACCGATATTCATTTTTCATAAGAACATTGTACGTACAACATATACCCACAATTTCATCAACCCTAACCTTGTCCAACAGTTCTTATTGAGAGAGGTTTGCAGAGTTATAGGTTCTTGATGCAACAGGCAGTAAAAACAACAGCATATGCCCCCAATTTTAAGATTCTGTTACATCCACTGGGCTAGTAACTGAAAATTATACATTTTCAATTATTATTATTATTATTAGGCGACACACTTTGACCATTTTGTACGTTGCTGCATTGGTAGGATTTCCAACCAGTACACCATGGGAGTAAGGGTCAACAGAAATTTTCAAAAATACTCTCCCAAAAAAAACAGAAACAGTTTCTAAAAAATTCACACGGCATGATATTGGCATCATTTGTTCGATTTCATCTTTTGGGCCAACTTTCACGGAGTTGTGTGCTGAGCCCCAGGGGAAACCTTCAACTTTACCACAACAACATGCAAACACATGGAAGGAGATTCCCACTGCTGAGGCAGGATGTCAAGCAACGCCTGTCTCTACAATCGGTGTGCTTTTTACAATGCATTCTACGGTCCCTATGAAATGGACAACAGGTTCGGATAGAATCCACGCGCCTAGCTGTGACATTGTCTTGATCTCAGGAATACCTTTGGCAAATTTCTTAGGGCAACCGTCTAGGCACTGCTCAAACAGGTCTCTGGCTCGCTCCAGCTTCTTACCACCCTAAAAAAAATCAACAAGTACATTAACAACAGAGTGAGTATAAACAAGATTCCACTGGAATCACTTTAAAGACGATTACTACACCCAATAGCGTAAGGCAATATCTCAGATGTTGGAATTTCAATAAGGCAGATTGCTCTAAACACCAAACCTCTTAGCCAGTTTGTAGTCTTATCTCCATAGCAACACACATCCAAAAGGCTTTTAGTCCTATTTTCATAGGGCAATACCGCTTTGTCCTCATTTATCCTTGTGTGTAATATTCAGACTGTTTTCAGACCAAAGACTGTATAGCGCCGCGTAGCCGCGCAAGATGGCCAACTTCACCGTGAATACACGTAAAACGTTGAAATTGCACGGGCGCCATTTGAGCAAGCGATATGCCTGCGCAATGCACATTAATGCACGCAGGCGCCATGGCAGGCACGTGCACCTGCTAAGCCTGTGCCTAAACATTACCGTAAACTGCGCAGGCGTATCGCTAGCTCAAATGGCGCCCATGGTGATTACACCTTTTGGGCAGAGTTATCCACCTTGCGCCTTGGGCGCTATACGATCTTTCTTTCAGACTAGAATGATTCCAACTGTACAACGTATTTTTCAGTATATTTGGGCTACAAGATAGGATTAACCTGCATCCTTTTGTAACATCCTATTTTATTTCCACTCTGGTCTCACGAAGCACGGAAGATGCAAACAAGAAAACAGACTTATGTGTGGTTCTGAGA